TTCTGGGCATCACCTTTTCCACAAGACCCTGCTGCCCAAGACGCTTCTGAGCAAGCTGCTGCCATGTGCTCCCATCGAAAAGAGCCTTTCTGACCCATGGATCCTAAATCAGACGATGGCCAGGAGAGCGTCAAAAGCAGGAAATCGGCGGTGATTCTTGTTTCTTGCGTTGGGCACGCCACACGCCGCACGACCTGTAAAGTAACATGTCAGGCATTGGCACCTCCTTCCCCCGTCAGACTCCTTGCACAGGCTCCTGTGCCTGGATCTTTATTGTAGCGTTGTAAAATTGATTTCAACCAGGACATAACAGCGGGAGAATCTGAACCGCGAGCAGCAACAAAGCAAGCGACAGACACTCCAGCGAGAACTTAAGAGAAGCTCGGAGGTGTTTTTGAAGCTGTGGACGTCCACAAGTTCAGATGAATGTCGAACCGACAGTGCAACAGTTGAGCTCCGATCATTGGTGAGCCGTGAACCACGCATAAATCATGTGTGTATTCCATCCGCGCAGCTTGCAGTGTTTCAGCACGTGCACTCTCATGTAGTCCGCGGGTGCATGTCATCTTGCGCGAAGCCTTCGCCACTCCTGCCTCGAACACCTCTTGGATTTCAACCACGTGGGCTATCGGTGCACACTGGACAAAGACAGCCACGAGCAAGTCAGAGCCAGGGAGCGAAGGTGCGCATCGTGCTGTTTGACCGACTTGACCACTGAGTTTCTTAACGTATCGCCATTGCACGTGCAGGCGCCGTTGGCTGGCAGGCCTGTGGTTGCCTGTGAGTATAGTCGATGTATAGTCGCACTTTGTTGGCCGTTCTGATGCAGGTCCCTGGTCCGACTGCGCAGGTCGTGCCGCCGACTCAGCTTGCGTGTCCTGCATAGAGTCAAAGTCAGTCAAAGTGCCCCGCCTCCAGAATGCTCCAGCGTTGGATGGTATTGGTCTTCATCGTCTGCACTTGACTGGCCTTTCAAAAGGTGCCATCGATTTGCTGAATATGGCCTGGAGCTTATTAACAAAACCCATCCCTACCACTGCAGCTGCAGCGCGGCACAGGCGACGTGTTGTGCGGGCCTGGGTCGATGGCTGCACCAGCTTCGCCGAAGAATCCGGAAGTTCAAGGCCGCTTTTCGTGTTTTCAAGAAACGTGCTGCTTGGTGCAACTACGAGTATAGAATGGAGTATAGTAATATAGTATTTGTATATATATATATATATACGTACGTACATACACACACACACATACACACACACACATATATATATATATATTTATATATAAATATACATTATACGGTATACAGTATACAGTATACAGTATACAGTATGTAGTCTTTAGTATATAGTATACAGTATACAGTATATAGTAAATAGTATATAGTATATGATATATAACCTATAGTACATAGTACATAGTATATATAGTATATAGTGAATCGTATATAGTATATGGTATATATATATATATATCGAAAAATATGTAACACATGCCAATATGCCGTATATACAGTATATCCAGTACACATAGTATATACATATATATATATATGTAGTATGTATACATATAGAGTATACAATATATATATATATAGCATACATATGTGTATATATATATATAAACTATAGTATATATATATATAATATACCCTATATAGAATATGTACAGTATATAAAGCGTATATAGTTTATATAGTATATACAGTATATATAGTATATGTAGTATATACAGCTTATACAGTTATATATATATATATACGTATATAACGTATATAGTGTATACTGATAGTATATTATAATATAGTACAATATAATAGGACACAAAAAAGTTAATATAATATAATACAATATACTATAATATAATGTAGTAGCTATTGTTCAATATATAGTATCAATAGTACGTCTAGTATATACTGTATACTTATGTATGCGTGGTGTTTGTTGTTTATATAGTGTACATACTTTGTATGGTATGTGCAGTGTGTGTGTGTATGTATATGTCTATATAGCAAATTTAGGGTAGTTCAATAATATTGTATTTATGTAGCATAGAGCTTTTAGGGAGAATGTAGAGACTTTGGAATACATGAGTGTAGGTGTGTGTGTGTATATACATACACATGTACAAACATAGGTAGATAGAGTTTGCTTTTCAATACACAGTCTACATAGCATGGTTTACAGCAGATAGTCACTGTTTATATAGTATACAGTATATAGTATGTAGCACATAGTATATCGTACAGCCTACAAGTCATAGTATATAGCATATGGTACATTGTATATCGATTGTAATACATAGCATGATTGCAGGTTGAGATTAAACTGACAGTAGGTGCTGGGACTTGACAAGAGTTGGCTTTCAGATGATGGCATACCGTTTTGCAGGATATCGGTGTGATGGTTTCTTCGATCGTTCGTCGACAGCAGTCTGCGGCTGATACCGCGCTGCACCAGCAGCATTCAGAGGTTGGACGCAGACCAACGGCCAGAGATCTCGTGGTGGTCATTGCAGGCCACTTTCCAAGAAGCCAAATCCAGCTGCGCTGGAATTGGCAAGAGATTGGAAAGCCAACAGGGAGCATGGTGTCACGAATTGCAGGCCCCACAGCTGTGGGCAAATCCGATGTTGCCGCAGCGCTGATGGACAGCTTCCGTGACCAGGGGGAAAAGGACCGGGTGGCAGCTAGCATGGCAGCGTGGTGCTTGGATGGCCAAGACGAAGAGAAACAATGCTGATGGGAAGGCATGCCTCATCAGCGCTGATTCGGTTCAAGTGTACAGAGGCCGGACCCGCAACCGCAGAGGCTCCTGGCAAACGAAGGCATATTCAGTACCATCCCAGGTCTGGACATCGGCTCCAACAAGCCATCCAAAGCTGAGCAGGCCACCTGACCCAGCCCATTGCACCTGCAATCGTTGAGTGGTCTAAGACGGCCCAAGTCGTCGTGCAGGAGAGGTGGCCGATCGAGCTGATAGACACTCGGCAGATTCAGAGTTGAACAGTGGGTAGCGGAGGAGTGCTGGGAGAGAGCCAGCAGGACTGGATGGAGCCAGACAGGCCGGGTTCCCAGGAAGAGGGCTGTGGCGTCGTGGTGCTGAAGTCGTCGGAAAATAAGCCTGGTTGCATCCAGGCTGGTTATTCTCCCTTGACTTTAGGAATGCAGCTTATGTTTTTTGTAAGGCCTTGCACAGCTGGCACGTGGACAAGGGAAGCCTTGCGCTGGGGACTCGTCCACAGACAGCGCAGTGATGCAGCTGTCCGTTTGCAACGAAGGATCCATCGACAATGCCGTGGGCAAAGGTTGCGTGCCTATTGTGGTCGGTGACTAGTTGGCACTGGGTGCTAGAGCATGGCTGGAGGCTTCTTGCACGCCTGGACTCTGCATTTTCTTGTCTGCTCCAGGTGGCTCCTGTGACTTGACTGCCACCATGACTCACCCAAGAAGTACTTGCAAAAATGTGCACACGTTTGATCATGCGGGCCTTGCGCCCAAACATGCCCAAACCCTACACCCGGCCCAGGCCCAGAATTTGTCGTGCTGCGCTTGTGGAGTGGAGTATAGTTGCAGCGTTGTCATAAGTTCTTTTGTTTGCTTGTCTGTCGGAGCTTGTGTAATTTACAGATGTGCAGGTGTTTCTGGGAGTGGTTACGGCTCCATTGGTGCGCATTATGCTCTTCCCTGGCAGCCTTGTGTCATGTGTCGACCTTTATCGTGAGAGTCCAAAAAGCTAAGCACCGCCCGAAGTGTCTGAGTTGAGTACCGAATCCGAAGGCAAAATCAGGACCTACCCGTTGATGTGGCAGCCATTGCGCAATTGCACGACGCGTTCCTTAGGCATGTACCTGGACTGGCTGGTGAAGGGCGAACCTGATGCAGCAAAGTCGGCGGTGGGCTCATCTGCTGCACCACACCTCCTATGTCTTTGTCTTTCACTTTGTGTGTCTATCTCCGCATTTCACATTTACGCTTATGACGATTCTTCAATTTTGTTCTTCGTAGACCTTCTGCGCTGTTTTCCAGGACCCGGCAGTGCAGGCACAAATCTCCGAAGAGCTGCGGCCCTTTCAGGTGGCACGCTGTGTGTGTGTGTGTTTTTTTGGCTCCGTTCGTGTCGCTCCAGAGGATGCCATGGATTGGGATGGTGCCCTGTCCTTGCTTGCGTCGGTGGATCCGAGAAAGGCGGGCTGCTCTGCTAGGCAGTGCTTGATCATGCTACCAGTAGCTGTTGATTGATGTTCACTTCTAACTTGGGAGCTGGAGAGTGAAGCGGTTTTTCGACAGGCTGCCAGGATCATGCCAAACAACTGGCGGACTGCTCAAAACGATATCGCTGTGGGACCGCTTTCATCTTTACCTCAGTCGAGAGATTGAGCTCCCACCACGCCCAGGCGACAGCTGTCGAGGCAACTCGAGGCCCTTTACCCCTCAACAAGCCTCCCTTCGTTGCTCGCCGGAGCGGTTCAGCACTTGCAGGTGGCCAGATCTCCGCCGAGGCAGACTGGGAGAGGATCTCGCGATCGTTTCTTCGCAGCATTGTCTTGGAGACGGTTCTTCAGGTGCAGGGAATTCGTTTTGACTGCCTGCGAGGCTACGACTTTCGGGCGATCTTTCTCAGCCCAACAGATCGACCAGCACTCTTCCACCGAATAGATGCTTGCCGCACGAATTCTGCAAGAGATGGGTGCAGGAAGGTTGTGAGAGGGGTTTGGGGCAGCAGTTAGAGCAGCCAAGGACAGGCCAGCTCCTGGCCATGGGGATCATCCGAACTGCCATGAGACACGTTTGTGACCTTTCTTCAGGCGCTGTGTGGCCATGCTGCAAAAGGGCTTCCTTGAGGAAGTTGCCGGGGCCTCGATAAGGTACAGCTGAGCAGGCAGCCTCTCCACAATCTGAGGCCACGCTCCTCGAGAAAGGCCAACTTTTTGTTGCGCTGCTGGCATCGAAGAAAGTTGAGATCGCTGATGCATGAGGCCTTATCTCTTTAGATACGCCTGCGGCTGATGCAATTGGCCCAATCCTGAGTTGGCAGTTTGGTTATACGGTGCCTCCTTCGGTTCCCGACCTCGGAGGCTACCGGCAGGTCATTGAGTATCTCACGAGGCGGCTCCACCAGCCTCTGCATTGAGCAACCGGTGAAAGTCGTTAGTGGCCGCCGCTCTCATTCTCATACAGATCGTACTTTCCGGCCAAGCCGGAGGGAGGGAGGGAGAAGCATGTGCCAACACCGAACACAGTGCACGGGCACAGGCCGGAGCCGCAGTACGGAGATGCCGCGAGTTTGGTGGAGTTTGTGCGAAAGCCAGCTGCCAAAATCATCCTTCAAACTGCAAATTTCGCAGTCCTTCACAGTCCATGCGAGAAGCAGAAGCCGCCTCTGTGAGGTTTGGGTCTGTCTCGAGGCATCGGGCTCACATTTCCATGCCCCATGACTGCCAAATGCTGCAGGCCTGTTTTTTTTTTTTTGTCTGGAGTTCTGAGTGTTCAGGAACTATGCCAGATCACAGATGCTGCTTGACAGCCATGGAACTTTCGTGAACTTTGGCTTGTGCATGCTTGCTCTTCGCTTCTTGTTGCTACGGCAAGCCCGAGGCATTGGTTCATGAAGGAGACTGAGACTTGGGACACGTCAAGTCAAGGGGTCGCTGTTTCATGAGAACCCTTCCAGGACTCGTCTTTCGTGTGGGTGGAGACGGACCCAAGCAATCCGGCATTGACCGGAGTCTCAGCCCCAGGTGCCGCGATTAGCATAGACTGAAGCGGGTAGGCTTTAGTAGATCCATTGGGGCTGCTCCTTGGGCTCTGCCGCTTATGGCGGTCCGTGTATGGCTAGAGCAACCGATTCAGAAATTTGCATGGTTACTCCGTTAGTTGCGGCACGCCCTTAGAATGCAAGCGCGTCTCCTCGCAAAGGTCGAGGTGAGCAGACTCTGCGGCCTTGATGAGTTTGACTTCGCTTCTGAGGCCTGCATGTGAGAGGGCAAGGGCATGAAAGGCGTCGTTGAAGCGGGCACTTGCGTCCCCCCCCCAGCGCCAGGCAGAGGTGGATGGTGGGGTTCGACAAAGACAGGCCCGGGGCTGGTGATTCTTCACAGAACCGGACATTGCCTGAGTATATAGTATGTAGTAATGTAGTATATGTACATAGTAGATGAGAAACAGTGAACAGGCTGAACAGGCTTCGGCCATGGCTTGGACGTTTACCAGTGCGCTGGAGCAGGGCGAGGTCTTGACAGCCCAGGAGCACAAGTGCTCAGAGGTAGCACCGGGGACCAAGGCTAAGGTGGTCGTGTATATCTGCCGCGCTTTGCAAAGTCTCCGAGAGTTGCGAATGCAAAAGCTGCAGGAGTTGTCCGAGCTGCTTCCGCGAGCCGACAACTGCACGAGAAGGGCAAAAGCCTTACCGATTTTCTTGCCCTCCCTGACGCTTCAATGCCATTCCTGGCAAGGTTCCCTCAGCAGCTAGACAGCAGCTCCAACAGATTCGCGCCATCGCGGTTGAGAGTGAAGTTCCCCGCCTCGTGATGGTGGGTTTGCCTGCAGGGCGGATGTGTGCGAGAGAGCTCAGGTCCCGTATGGCAAGGCCCGGAAGAGCGCTCTTGCAACGCACGGACATCGTTGACCATGCCATGACAGAGGTGTATTGGCCTGGACGGCATCGCAAGCAGTACCCTCAGACACCCACTTGAAGGCTTGTGCCGTGTCAACATGCACTTGGTACGGGGCATGCCCACCTCTAGCCTGCGCAGCCATCCCATCTTTTGTAAAGCAATATCGTGACGGCTGAGGTGGGGTTGGGGGAACCCTTTGGGTAAGTTGCACCGACAAGGGCTGCAACTTTTCCAGTCCAGCGGCTGGCAGGCCCCTGAGCCGCCAACTGTGCCATTGAAGATGCGCATCTTAGCAGGCCATTGGGGAGAGCGACGACAGCATTGTTCCAGCGTTCTGCTGGCCGACACGACGCCCGCCACACTGTGAACTAGGTCAGGTCAGTTGTGAAGCAGAGGCGGTGGTGTGATGGTTGCAGTTCTGGCTTCCACTGGATGTTGAACGCAGTGTTAAGGACAAGCTGGAAAGTTTCCGGCAACTGTGTCCGGAGGGGATATTCTGCCGCTCATCAGGCCCTTTCCGCAGGCTCGCAGACATCGGTACCAGAATATGTGTGGATCCACATGTTGGCATGCACTCTTGCTGGGAAGGACTTCACAATGAGACTGGACAACAAAGCTGTTCAGCTGCAGAGAAAGCTTTCTGCAAAGGCCTTCAGGAGGGTGATGTTGCAGACAGAAAGCCCTAAGCTAAACCCTAAAGGCAAAAGACCACGAGAGCCAAGGCGCAGCTGGCTCGACACTTGCAGGCCGCAGGCTGTAATGTACATCCGGAAACCTGGGATGCGCCAGACTTTCTGGCCAGTCCTCCCTCTGAAATGGGAGGGCTGTTCTTTCTGAAGCACAGCCTCGGGGTGAAAGGTACTGGTGTACACTTGTTTGATTATTCTGGCCTTTTGCGGCGACTAAGCGAGCTTGGAAACAAAGGATGCCGACAGTTCATCGTGCAGCGCTACGTGTGGCCACCCGCATTACAGAACGGGCGGAAGTGGGTGTTAAGGGCACATGCTCTGCTACATGGGAAAACCGACGGCACTCTGTGGCTTTACTGCCATAGTGACATCATTTCCCTAGAGTATGGCCAGCCTTACACAGAGCAGTTGGACCTGCGTGCCGCTCACATCAGCAATGTCGCGAAGATGAAGCACCTGCCCAAGCCTACGCTGGTTGATGACCCCGAGCTTGCGCATCAAGTGCATCGCCTGACGGAGCAGACATTCGGAGCTGTTCTTGAGCATGCGCCACGGGGGCCGTTCACTCCCGAAGAATCGGAGCTTTGTCAAGTCTTCGGCCTGGATGTCATCCTGGACGCCCGCGGGAAAGCCTGGTTACTCGAAGTGAATGACTACCCGGCGATTGCATCCGGCACCATGGAGCACGTCGACACGGCGGTTTACACTCGGCTGGCGAGGGATCTCCTTCTTCTTGTGGTTGCTCCGAAACTGGATGGTGCAGACCCGACTCCAGGTGGTTGGTGCCAGCTGAAGTTGCCAGAAGAGCGAAACAAGTATAACGTGGACCAGGTGCAGTCTTTAATAGATTCGGGTTGCAACATCATAGGGCGCAATTCGGGGAAAGCCAGTGCGCACAGATCAATGTCCACAAACCTGTCAGTTCAGAGCCTCGCATGCATGTCTGTGGCTTGGCTCAGCAAAGGTTCAGTCTAGAGGAGATTCGAGGGGCGAGGTGCAGTAATTGACCTATATGTTGGACCGAGTTCTGAGTGGTGAACCTTGTGGAGTGGTGGCCCGGCCCAGTGCAGATGGCCCACCTTGCAGCCCACATGGCTCGCAACTCAAGCAGCTGTTGCTGTCATTGTGGTGCTTCTCGAGATGGTGGATGCTGTCGGACAGCATCATGCAGCGGGTTGCTAGCGTTGTGGTAGCGCATGGCTTTGCATTGAAAGCCGACTCGGCTCAAAGGGACACTACTTCACTGTCTCTTTCACTGTTCCTCTTCGACTAGCAAAAATCGCATCGCAGAGAGGGCCATGACCTTCGTGCGCCCCTCGAGTTTCTTTCTACATATCAGCAACAGTGTCAGTCAGCACTGCACCCCATTCCGCTCCACACCAGGTCTGCTACTCTGGCCACGCATTCTATCCACTTCGACTACTTGCCTTCTTCTGGATCGCAGCACTACCCTCAGAGCTATTGGGGAGCAGATGTTCCGAGTCCTACCTGCCCGCTTGCCATTCTGCCGTGCACTTCGATGTGCAGGTGTTTTGGACGGCTCGCGGTGCAGAAGACGAAAGCGCGCTGCTGGCGGATGATGAATGTCGCACCGAAGGTTCTGAGTCCCTGCCTCATGGCATCGGCGCATGGGTATTTCCGAGTTCCTTGAAGACGACTAGAGCCAAGGTGCATGCTGCATGCACTTCAGAAGCGAGGTGTGGTGTTAGAGTGCCTTGCTGAGCTTCAGCCGGAACAGGGTGCTGGGGTCAGCTCCCTTCTATCAGTGATGACGGCCGAGGCACAGGGTGCCGCTGCCATCGGATCCCGAAGCGGAGACAGACGACAGCACCCCTGACAGCCCTGACAGCACCCCTGACAGCACCCCTGACAGCGAGTCTGTGGAGGTGGGCCGAGATCCGGCTGCCGTTTGTGCAATAAGTAATTGACCACTAGTTGAACACTCGTGATGCTATTGCATGTGCTCTCCAGGTGGAAGAAAGCACCGACGATGCCACAGAAAACAACACCGGTAACAAGACGGAGACTCCGTCGCAGGCTAATCACTTCAGGTTTAGATTACTGGTAGAAAGCACAGAGCCTTGTACTCTTGCTTGGCTCGTGTGTCCAGCTCTTTGGACTAGGTGGTGGATGTCATGGAAAATGTCACGGACAACGCCACGGTCACCACTAACAGCACTGCAAACGCTTCGATTAACGAGACGGTCAAGAAGGCCAGCTGTCAAGCCATGCGCCCTTGATTCGATATTCTCGCACAACGAAAAGAGAGACCACGGTGTCGACGTGCCTTCCAGCATTCACCAGACACAAGCCACAGTACACAGAGTACAAAGCTTTGCACCAGCGTGGAGGACGACAAGGACTGCGCGGAACCGTTCCTTCAGTGCGGCGGCTACGGACTCAAATGATGCCTGCGACAGCATGCTACACCGGCGTACGTTTAGCTGCAGGAAGAGGGACCGTGTCAGGTGAAAGCTGGAAGGGGCCCACATGTTGCAAAGGAGCCTACATTTGCCACGAGGCACGTGGGCACAGTGCACACCTGGCGTGGAACAGAACATGTAGCACCAGTGCGCAGGTCAATGCCTACTACTCGCTGTGCAAGACAGAGGAGGTTCTCCTGCTCCTCTTCCGATGAGGACCTTTTTGTGCAGCTCACTGCCTGCAGGAGCTCGTCAGAGAAAACACCACGACAACGTCCCTTGGATGAGGTACTGGTAGCTGATGACACAACAGCAGAATAGATGATTTAATTGGAACTGTTGTTAACTTTCGATAAGGACCACTACGACAACAAATGCTGATCCACAGCCGCGCGGCCTCTGTTGTTGTTTCCTCGAAAAATGGAAGCAGAAGCTGCCATATGCACTATGCCCGTAGCACGATCAAGGCATTGCCTGAACCCGTATCAGCAATGTGGCGGCATCAAAACTGACGGAAGCTTGGAAGCAAGCATGCAGTAGCAAGTTTGCTCATGAACTCTCAGGTTTCTGAAGGCCCTATGTAATGAGGAGACATAGTAGGCTTGCGAGGTTGCTTCCCGTACGCCTGAAGCATCAATCCGAGTAATCACCCAGCCCGAAAGGATTGTCCGAGTCGTGAGAGTGTAAACCCTAAACATCAACCCCCCATGCATCCCCATGCCTCTTTCGTTTGGCTGAGGTTTCTGTCTTAGAGTGTGAAGACCCCTGGATGTTTTGAAACAGGCCCTGGACCCCGGACCCTGCGGGTTGATCTCGCATTCTGCAGCGTGGTTTACTAGAGTTGAGTTTTTTGTATTATCGGTCTGTAAAATTCCGAGATCGGCATGTGAGGAGAACCCTTGTGACACGTTTCTAGGGTGTGTGATGGTTTATGTTCTGACATGCTGTACTTACTCTCCCTTGTACTGGGTGCTGGTTTTCAGTAGCACGCTGCGTTGAGAGAACCTTCGAGCCGTCCCTGCGAGTCGAAACTCTGCAGTCTTCGTCTCCACGTCCCCGAGGCGTCGCCTATGTGGGGGAATCCTGCTGCCACGGGGGTTACTACTGCACGGAGGCCCCTACGGCCGCTCAGGATCCCTGTGGCTGAGTTAAAGCATGGACAAAGATTATCATGATAAGCAGAATGGGAGAAGGAATAGTAACAACAAGCAGGAAAATAAGAAGTTGAGCAAGAAGCAAGAAAGAGCAACAGCAATAGCAAGCCAAAGCATAGCAATAACAATGCTCATAGCCACAATGTTGATGATAAGACTAATGATGATCGTGGCTACAACGATATTAACAATCGTAACGGTAATAACCGTGGTAGCAATAGCAACAGCAACAACAGTACTAATAGTACTAATGTGAATGATGATAGCAACAATGACAACACAAGTAGTAGTGGCGGTATCAACAATGAGAAGCATGATGTTAACAAGCATGATGGTGATAATAAAGGTAATGATCGTGCTACGAACACGAATAAGAATTGTACGAACGAAAATAACAGTAAGAATACGAGTAAGACTACGAGTGATTATAAGAATTGTGAGATTAAGAAAACCTCAACGAGAAGAAGAACAATAGCAAGAACCGGGATAAGAATAAGAAGGAATATAACAGTGATAATATTATGAAAAATAATCATATTGTTAAGAAGCCTGGTATGATTCTCCTCATAGGAGGCAGACTAACGAAATCTGCTTTGCATGAAGAGGTGAATACCAATTGGATGCAGTGCGATCCGACGAAATCGGGGGGTCCACACTTTGTGCATCTGGTCCGGAAACGGTACAGGAGCGGTAGGATGCGACAGCACGTGTTGTGTGAGTTCCTGGACAGCGTCTCAGGTACAAGCCTACGGAAGAGCTGAAGCGACTTCCATGCGATGTTCACATATGCTTAGCTGCAGTCAGCTGTCGATGCTTCTCCTTCTGCTGCCTGGCTATTCTGCCATCCAAGGGAGCCCAGCAAGGCACCTCTGTTCACATACTATGTCTACAGGGCTGAGTCGGAAAACTCTGCCTCGTGGCTGCAAGACGCCATGCGGTAACCGTGATGGAGAAGTTGAGTGTTCCAACGGGCAGAGAGCTGGAATGATCGGCATGTGGCCGTGATGTCAGGACTATATCGATAACGTCAACGCGCCACACTCAGTTACTGGTCATGATGCACGGGCTACATGCAGCAGCAAGCGCTGAGAATTTGGAAATATTTGCAGGTCGGCAACCTTGCTGGCACCATGTGGTATTTACACAACGAGGTGGCTGTGTGAGTGCCGTCATGGTGTTCAGGGGAGCACCCCCCTGATCCCTGCAGGTGGTGTGGATGACACCACGAAAGTTCAATATTACAAGGCCCAAGAGTCCAAGAGCTGCAGACACTGATCTCGCGTCTCAGGGCCCAGCCTCGCAAGGCTCCAGCGCTTCAAAGTCTCGAGCAGGGCGACACAACCCCTTTACGATTTGGGCATGAACTTCGGAGCTCCGTGCCTGCACTACTTGTGCTGCATGCATACGCGTGCGATCCGTGTCGCGGAGTGCAACCTGCTGGGACCTGCTTGGGTGCCACTGAAGCCTAGGTTCGCTACGCGTATGATGCGGCGCAGTGCACTGGACCTTGGAACTGCGACATCAACTATGGAAGGCAAGGTCCTCGTGCATTTTGCGAAAATAGAGACCTCTCCAAGCGAGCTGACCTGCGAGGTATGGCTACTTCGTCGGTTGCAACAATCTGGGGGAGTTTCCATTCCCTACATACAAAATCTATTACGAGGGAGCCAAGCAGCAGCCCCAGAAAGGTCTTGCAGGATTGTGGAGAGCATTCCTGATGCGCTCATTGCCCTTCCACAGGTGGTTCACGCTTCCGGGGCCATGCCCGGCAAATACGTGGAAGGACTCTTTCCGCGGGATGGCAATAGGTAGTGGTTTTTCACGAGCACGCGGAGTTGACTACGGTGTTTGCTTTGAAGCATTTCTCCGGTTTTGAGGAGAAGGATGCTGCTTGTATCAAAGACCAGCCGGGTGGCCTCTGTGCTGGGACCTTGGATCCGTCCACATTGCACCGATGGTGTAATATTGATGTGGGTACCTGCACGAAAGACAGTCTCCTACGCAGCTTCACCCACCGATTTTTGAGCTCGATACGACACTATATTTTACGACTGAGGAAGGCACTCCCACGGGTGCTGGTGACTGCACGTTCAACATTGAGCATGCAGGGGCAGCTTTGCGAGCACTAGTTTCGAAGATCTCAGCTGTGATCTGCTCTTTGATGCTGGGGGTGGTTCTGTAAGCGAAGGAAATCTCGATTGATGAGATCGAGGGCATCAAGAACTATGCTCACTTTATCAACGAAGGGCCCCCCGGCTCTACACATGCGTCTGGCATGCGGGAACACGGAGCCATGCTCCAGTTTGCTTTCGGTGGAGTGATTGGTGCAGGTATGAAGAGTTCAACAAGACAGCCGACAAAGGAATCGGCCTGGACTTTTGGCCCTTTTGCTGCAATCGCCGGCGTCTTGACGATTTCTACCGATCTCTACTGCCAAATCTGCACAATTTTCCAGGAACAAGATGAACGACACCGAAGCCAACAACGAAAGGATGGCAAAGGCACATTGCCCGACAAGAATTTCGGGCCGGCTCCCTGTTTGTGGCCCGTCAAGGTGGACAAGCTCTTCAAGGAAAAGTTCCCGAACTTGCCGGGTGACATGCCGGACAAAAGGGTTAGCTGCAAGCAGGGTCCTGGTGTAAAGTGGTGTCTGAGGCGACGCAGATTTGCCGTCACCAACATGTGATTTCAAGTTTCAAGAGCCGCTTTGCCGAGCATTCAGCTGTATCCCTGCGTGTCCTACCCTTGTTTGCCTTTCGTGCGCCGTGGCCTCAGGTTTTACACGGGAACGACCACCACGACCACTACGACTACGACAACGACGACCACAACAACAACCCTGGCACCTCCTTGCACAGTCTCTTGCTCAGAATTCCATGTTCAAAGCGGCCAAGTCTCTTTAGATTAGATTTAGACTTAGACACGTATCGCTTTGTCCTGCTAGCTGCTCTTTTCCAGGATGCAGCAGCTGGTGATCGTTGCTTCAGCGCAGTGCGATGGGCCATGCAACATGGCCAACTCCTCAGTGGTAGCATCGGCGTCGGCAGGAGTCGTCCTCACAAGTGAGACGGAAGTAGTCGCGCGTGCCAAGGCATCCATGCTCACCCGGAGTGGTATCCCGGCCTGTCGACACACTCAACCTTTGCTGACTTTCAGGCCTGCCTGCACGTCAGGTAGCAAATAGATCAAAACCCTGCGTCGTGCGTCCAGCTCTTTTCATGCACTCGCTTTGCTCAGGCGCAGGTCCATCGAGCCCGGCCCCCAACGAACTTCTTCGTCGACAGTCCAGAAGTGTTGTCGTTTTAGTTTAGGCTGGACTCAGCTAGAAGTGGCTGAGGCGACGCCGGATGTCTGCCCTGCCCCCTGCCCGAGCAGCTCAAAGCCAGTTGCTCCTGCAACCCCAGCAGCCCCAGCAGCCCCAGCGCCGGAAGAACCAGCAGCGCCCGTGACAACTGCGGCGCCCGCGCCTGTGGCTCCTGCAGGTTGCAGAGCCGCTTGGCTCACAGAGACTTCGATATCCACGCCGCTTGTTCTTTCTGTGGCTTACACAAATTTCAACTGCCGGGGGAGAGTGATTTTTCACGAGCCAAGGATGCTCACCCAGGGGAGTCCTGCTACTCAGCCGTGCGGTGGGCAATGCGCGATGGAATTCGAGAGCATCCAAATTGGTATCCTGGACTTTCGTCCACCTCGAGTTTTGCAGACTTCCAGGCATCACCTTTTGGACTCTTAGAAGTTGAGCTTGCCATGTCTGATGTGCGCCCTCGCTGTCTTAGGCGCAGGTGCACAAGGCCGCACCCCTGGCAATTGGATCACAACTTCCTCCCAACGCGCATGTCGCTCTCGGCTGAGGCCACGCCCAAGAAGTGCCCTCCACCTTGCACTGCCCGGTGAGTCGCGGCCAACCCGCAGCTAATGATAGACTTGAAGAGTGGGCCAACAAGCCGGAGTCTTTGACGGCGGATGAGCCCGAAAGGGCACAGGCCGCTCTTCGAGTATCTCCACCCCTTTCAACTCCATTTGAGCAGCCGGTGCTGTCGGCTTGACTGAGTAGCGCCAGAGAATGTCGCGTGCATGAAAGCTGTCTGTGTCTGGATGTCCCGTCACTCTACGAGATTTTTTTTGGAATCGGATTCAAGCGGAGACCGGCCAGGCATGGCCAGGCGCTGCGAGGAGCGAAGGCTGGTGTATGAGAGTCCTTCTGCTGTCAGTGCTTGTTTCCGGGAGCGAGGAAACAGCATGAAACAGCCAGGTTTAGAAGAAGCTGCTTGGTAACAAAGCAAAGCAACTATTTCTAGATGTCGACAAATTTTGCGGTTGTTCAGCCCGCGCGAGTTCGCGGGACATGTGGAAGATAGAGATCGCCTTGGAGCCATGAGAACCTGTCTGCGAGTTGGAGTCCTGACAGTCCGTGCACGTCCCAAAGCCGATTCGGCTCAGAGGGACCATGTTGCACCATTCCCTTCACTCTTCCTCTTCGGCTAGCCGAAATCGTAATGCAGAGAGGGCCATGAACTTTGTGCGCACCTTGATCTCCTTTCTTCGGGTTCGGTAGGTCCGCACCACACCTCTCCAAGAAAGCGAGGTCGGCGTGTCTGGCCCATTCCACCCACTTCGACTACTTGCCTTCTTCTGGATCGCAGCAGGGGCCTCTGCAGCCGCAAAGTCACAGCAGAGCGGATGTCCCGAGGCCCGAGCTAGCTGCGTTGATGCGCAGGTGACGGCTCGTGGTGCAGAAGACGACAGCGCACTGCTGGCGGATGATGAATGTCGCACCGAAGGTTCTGAGTCCTTGCCTCATGGCGTCAGCGGATGCGCAGCAGACTGATGTGGCTCGGTTGTTTAATGTCGCTTCTGATTCGCTTGCAGACTAAAGCCAAGGTGCCTGTTGCATGCACTTCAGAGGCGAGGTGCGGTGGTAGAGTGCCCTGCTGAGCTTCTGCAGGAGTGGGCTGCTGGGATTAGCTTTGTGCTTCCTGTGATGTGGGCCAAGGCACAGTGCGGCGCTGCCGGATGCCGGGGCGGAGTCGGAGCCGGACAACAGCAGCCCGGACAGAGCGAGGCATTGTCTGCAGCCGTACGAGCAGTGCGGCGGTATCAAACCTGATGGAACCTTGGATGACACTCTGGGAGCTGCGTCTTTCTGTAAGACTGTCATAGCATTGATGTCTGCCCGTTGTCAGTCGATGTCCGAGGTTCGCAATATGCAGGTGAAACCTGTTGCCATGGTGGTTACTACTGCACGGAGGCCCGCGCGACCGAGTTGCAGGTTAGTAACCGTCCGCCTCGTGCCTTGCGGAGGTGAACGCCAATTGGAAGCAGTGCAATCCGACGAAAGCAGGAGATCCGCATTTTGTGCACCTCGTCCCACAAAGAAGTGGGGGCCGCCGCAAGAAGACCTACGAAGAACGGCAGCGCCAACATACTGTTAATATTTTTGTAACATGTCAGGTACAAGCCGACGAAAGAGCTGACGCAACTTCTATGCAGTTTTGATCTATGTTCTTCCGTCGGGCTGCTGGGCTATTCCGCCATCCGAGGGAGCCCAGCAGGGCTCCGCTGCTTACGTACTATGTCTACAGGGCCGAGTCAGCAGATTCTGCTCTGTGACTGCAAGCAGCCATACCATTGCTGCGATGGAGATGTGAGTCTAGCTTAAATGGTTGGCATGCCCTTGCGATGCCAGGATTATTTCGATAACGTGAATGTACCAAGCTCAGTTTTGATCATGTTGCACGGATCATACATAGAACCTTTGCCGATGCATGCGTGGTTCATCCAGCACGAGTGCTTTGCTCAACATGTGGCAATGTCGGCAGGTCGGAAATCTTGCTGGCACCTTGTGGTACTTGCACAACGAGGTTGCATTGTGCCTGCGGTCAAAATCTGGGCCGGGAGCATGCACCTTCATATGTGCAACAACAGGTGGTGTGGATGACCCCGCGAAAGTTCAATATCACAAGGCCGACTAAGTAGAGGATGCTGTCTTCTCATCCTCAAGGCTCAAGCTCTCTGCCGCAAGGCTCCAGCGCTTCAAAGTCTCAAGTCGGGCACCGCAACCCCTGTATAATTTGGGCATGAACTTCGGAGCTCCGTGCCTGCACTACTTGTGCTGCACGCGATCCGTGCCGCGGGGACCTGCTTGGGACGCTGAAGTCTAGGTTCGCTACGCGTATGATGCCGCGCAGTGCACTGGACCTTGGAACTGCGACCTCAGCTATGGGAGGCCAGGTCCATCTCTCCATGTATGCGTTCGACAAACAACGCAGACCTCTCCTGAGCTGGGAGGTATGGCTACTTCGTTGGATGCAACAATCTGGGGGAGTTTCCCTTCCCTACCTACCAAATTTACTACGAGGGAGCCAAGCAACGGCCCCAGAAACAAGCTTGTTTTGGCACTTTCCATGCAGTGGGGAAGCCGGAGGTGGTACACGCTTCCAGGGCCATGCCCAGCCAATACCTGGCAGGACTTCAGAAGCTGAAGTTACTATTTTTACTATCATTACTATTATCATTATTCTTCTTCTTATTAAAATCGAAGAAGTGGCCTCCTCAGCCTCCCAGGAGAAGGACGCTAAGTGCATCAAAGACCAGCCGGGCGGCCTCTGTGCTCGGACCTGAGAGATCCACGCCGCGTCGTTGCGGCTCAACGCCGGACGTGATTTCTGAGGAAGGCACTCCCACGGGTGCTGGGGACTGCACCTACAGCATCGAGCATGCCGGAGCGGCTTTGAGAGCACTAGTTAACTGGTTTCGAAGATTCGGTCCGCTCTTTGACTTGCCTGGCTCTGTCAGCAAAGGAAATCTCGATTGACGAGATGACGGGCATCGAGGACTACGGTCGCTTTATCAGCGAAGGGCGCCCCGCTCTGTACATGTGGCGAACGCACAGGAATTCAGGTCACTCTCCTTTCTTTTTGCTCTGGGTTATCGGGTGCAGGCACGTAGAGTTCAACAAGGCAGACGACGAAGGCCACGGCCTGGAATTTTGGCACTTTTGCTGCACACATGATCTGTTTTACTACAGCTGCTGCTGGTGCTCGTACCTGGTGCTGGGCAGATCTGGAGTTTTAATTCTTAGGAACAAGATGAACGACACCGAAGCCAACGCTGAAAGGATGGCCAAGGCGCATTGCCCGGCATCTCCGCCAGCTCACTGGTTGCTGTCCAGTCAAGGTGGACAAGCTCTTCAAGGACAAGTTCCCCGACATGCCGAGTGACTTGACGCGCAACATGGGTTAGCCGCAAGTGGGGTCTTGGTGTCGACTGTTTTTTCAGGCGATGCGGATCTGCCATCACCGACATGTGATTTCCGGATGGAACAGCGCTTTGCCCATGCAATCTGCCGTCTAAGCGGTCGCGACATGCCACAATGCTCTGCTTTTCCTGCGCAGCGTGGCCTCAGGTTTTACAAAGGCATCACCACCACCACAACTACCACCAGCACCACCACGACAACGACAGCCACAACTACCGTGGCCCCTCTTTGCAAAGCCCTTTGCTCAGACACTTCTGGTGGCACGTTCACAGTTTTGGGGATTTGTGTCTTGGTCTAACTGGTGGCTACGAGGTTAGCGATCGTTGCTCTGGTGCTGTGCGATGGGCCATGCAACATGGCAATCTCCTCAGTGGCAATTTGTGTACAGCATGATTGCAAGAGACGGGTGTGGTATTTCCAAGGAATCCGAGCTCACCCAGAGTGGTATCCAGGTCTGTCAAAGCACTCCAGCTTCTCAGACTTTCAGGCGCGTACGGAGCAGATGCAACGACGCCGTAGCACGGTCTCGCTTCGTGCCGCCGGTCGGTCCAGTTCTTCCGATGCATGGGCCCCCAGGCGCAAATCCACCGAGTCCGGCTCTTATTTCTTTGGTCGAACATCCAATTGCTGTCCATGGATGGAAGCGGCTCAGGCCACGCCAGACGTCTGTCCTACCCCCTGCCACGGCAATTCCAAACCGGTTTGGCACGCGTCTCCAGCAACTCCAGCAGCAGCGCCCGCGCCTGTGGCTCCTGCAGGTTGCAGAGCCGCTTGGCTCACAGGAACTTCGATATCCACGCCGCTTGTTCTTTCTGTGCCTTACACAAATTTCAACTGCCGGGGGAGAGTGATTTTTCACGAGCCAAGGATGCTCACCCAGGAGAGTCCTGCTACTCAGCCGTGCGGTGGGCAATGCGCGATGGAATTCGAGAGCATCCAAATTGGTATCCTGGACTTTCGTCCACCTCGAGTTTTGCAGACTTCCAGGCATCACCTTTTGGACTCTTAGAAGTTGAGCTTGCCATGTCTGATGTGCGCCCTCGCTGTCTTAGGCGCAGGTGCACAAGGCCGCACCCCTGGCAATTGGATCACAACTTCCTCCCAACTCGCATGTCGCTCTCGGCTGAGGCCACGCCCAAGAAGTGCCCTCCACCTTGCGCTGCCCGGTGAAGAAGCTTAAATAATTACCATCAGTATTCCTTTGGGCCTTTATTTTAAGTATACTATCCTACATGAGACGTGAAGAGCCGGCCAGTAGCTGGGCGACAAGCCCGAAATTTTTGCATGGCGGACGAGCCCCAAGGGACATGCCGCTTTTCCCGGTGCCTTCAGATCGATTTGAGCAAAATCAACGGCTTCTGTCCGGGTGTCCCTTTCGCTCCGTGAGATCTTGTGCCTGAAAACTGATAGCAGTAGATCCAGATTCACCGGAAGAGCGGCCAGGTGACTCTGGCGGAGGCTGCCACTTATGTCAGCGATTCTGAGATTCTTGTTTCCAGGGTTTCCGAGGAGCTGTCGAGTTCGGCCGGCGCCGGACTACATTGTGGTTAGAGTATTCCTTGCCCCCATATAGTTATACCATACCCCACAATCCTGCTCTAATGTATCAGGCCTTGAGTGGCTGCAGCTGCAGTCGTGATGTGTTTGCACCCCGAACAAGCCTCCGTTGCTGGACATGACACGAGCACTTTGCAGCCCCGGCTCAAGACATCACGGTTCCCGGGTACTGTTCCCAGCGTCTGACCGGCTCCACATGTGTGACGCGGCGGCGGCCACACCTGTACAGCTGCTCAGGGCGTGACAATGCAGGTGGAGCCAGTGCGAAGTTTTCGATCCGGACGCAGCTACTTGACAGAAACCTGCAGCCCACAAGTTGTGATCGTGTGCCTCCTCTCTGCATGTTTCAGCTTGATGCTTGGCTTCTGGGCAGACGATGAACCTGAGCTGCGCCGTTTCTTCGAAGTCTGCAAAGGGACCGGACGGAAGCGGACCTGCTATTCAAGGCCCTGGACGGCACTCTTTGTGGGGAACGTGCTTTTGGCTGCCACAGCCATGATGATGCAGGGCTACCGGAGCCACTTTGTCTTCATGGGGGCCGTCACTCTCTTTGGGACATGCGGTGTTATCTCTACTAGCCAGGCCCTGGCAGGCTTTTCGAGCCCTGGCAACATTGCATTTCAAGCTGTTTTGGTCTTGGTCGGTGGAATCCAGGACTCCGGCGTGTTGGATCACATCTTCTCGCGTCTTCTAGGGGCTGAGCAAAAGAACCTTAAGGCATTTTTGCGGGTTCAGTTGGTCACAGCCTTCCTGAGTGCTTTTGTTCAGCAAACAACTGTAGTAGTCGCAGCCGCACCGGCGCTGCAACGTTGGGCGCCCCAAGCCGGGTTCACCCCACGCGAGATCTTGCTGCCCATTGCAAGCGTTGGTGGGATGAGCCAAAATTTCATGATCGTAACCTCCACTGTGGCTCTGACCATCTTTCAGACCATGCCAGAGGCGGAGCTGCAAATGCTGGACCCAGCCCTTGGGTGCATTGTGCTCACGGCCCTCACTTGCATGCTCCTGGGGCCTGAAGTCATAAGCTTGTTTGACAGAGCTTCTAAGTCGGCGGCTGCCGACAGTCTGGAGTGTGCTGCCATAGTAGTGGATCTCAAAGAGCGACAGCTGCAGGTATTGCACCCTTGCCACGAAGCCACTTCTGGGATCTGCGGCAGTGGAGCCTCCCAGCCGAATGGAGCACTTGCGGCATCAGTGCAGCAACCGCTACTACCTGTCTTTTGAGATCGCGAAGGGATCCTTTCTGATCGGTTCCACGGTTGCTCAAGCAGGGCTGCTCTCTCAGCCGGGTGCTTCTCTGGTTGATACCGACTTCGCGCTGGACAAGCGACTGGAGGTCGGCGACTTCCTGCACTTCGCCGCCACGGCGGCAGGGGTTGCCTCTCAGATGATGTTGTGTTTTTGAGTTTGCACCCCTTCACCAACACGATGGACGTATCTACATAGACATGGAATCTCAAACGCATAAGCTGGTGAGCTGAGACCCTTGCCTGGATCCGTGCCCGCCTGTGCGAGTGTGCGTGTCGAAATAAAGAAACGAACATATGTGGCGCGGGGCCGGAGAGGGTCCAGCCCCCGAGTGCGCCTGCCGTTTGTGCCCGGATCCGGTGAGATGACACATGAACCAAAGCCCAAACGGTCCGATGTGGTTCAGGGCGCGCAGCTAGACACGCATACGTACATACATAGCCCGCCCACGTATACATATATATATATGTACATAAGTCTATATGTCTAGTCTATATGTCTATGTGTGTGTATAAAAAAAATAAATATATATATATATACACACACACACACATGTTTGTGTGTGTGTGTGGGTCCATGTGTATCCACATCTCTCTCTCTCTCTCCCTGTCTCTCTGCCTCAATATGCTCTTGGTTGTGTTTGTTGGTGTTGCTGTTGGCAGCCGGGATGTTGGTCGGGGCCTCCGCGGCTGTGCATTAGCTGCCGTCTGACGGCTCGAACGCCGAGGCCCAGATCCGCAACAGGAGCCCAGGGCTGATGATGAAAGGAGTGGATCCCTTGGCGGCCTCGGGACGGAGTTAGAGCATATCTTTCGGTTTTTTCTGAGGCAAGAAGACATGAAACAGTAGTTGGCGCGAGAGGCTGAGAGGCCTAAACCGTAAGCCATCGTAAGCGTGATGATCTGGTGGGAGCCAGACCACCCCCGTGAAGCGCAAAAAACAGCCTCAGGTCTTAGGAGCCCAGCGCCATCGGAGAAGGCTCTTTGAGGTTGGTATCGCCCCAGGCTCTCCACTTGTGGGCTGCACCTTGGATCAAAAAGCGGGCGGGCGTCCGGAGACCGCTGACCCTTGCTGTCGGGGTCTAAGGAGGTTGTTAGGGAAAGAGCTTGCTGTGTGTGGGGACTGTCATAGTCCAGTCGAAGAGGGTTTAGGGTGTGGGGACCCCTCCAAATCGCTGCCTGCCTCTTGAGTCGATGGAGGGACATTCTCCGAACGGATGTGTCCTGGGGGATTGGGAGCTCTTGTCCGGGTTATTGCAGGTTGTGTCTCCATCGATTGGCTACACGAGGTTGAGGGTTTCCAGCACTTCTTCAGATGTGGTGATGTTTTCCAGGTCTTCAGTGCATGGCCACAACCGGAGTTCTGTGGCATCTTGTTGGATGTATATCTTCTAGATGATGAGATACAGGTCGAAGGTGATGTTCTGGGCCAGCTGCTAGCCCTACTTCTGGCTCTCTTAAAGGAGACCTTATTGATAGGGTCTATATTCCCCAAGGGTCCTACCGCAACTTCGGCTTCATTTCCGTCTTTAGAGCTGTGGATTCTCATGCGGTTTCCGGGTTCGACCGGCTCCTGCGAGCTTCAGATGCTTCGGGTTTCTGCCCGCGAGCGCACCAGCTCTCAGAACCAGACGGGCATGTACAAATGGCGGTTCTCCGAAAATAGGGGACCCTACCCTAATATAGTACCCTAAATACTAGGATCCTTATTATAAGGACCCCAAAATAAGGTACCCCCCCCCCAATGTTCGGAAACTCCCAAATCTGTGCAAGACGGGACCCCTCCAACTCTCAGTGCACAAAGGGGAAGAGGCACTGCTTGGAGCCTCATTCTCGAGGCAGCTTCTATCCATCAGTTTATACAGTTTATCCCTTCATGTCTCTGCTTGTCATGTCTTCATGTCGATTTACTTATCTATCTAATTAAATATCTATCTACATATCTATCTACATATCTATCTATTTATTTATCTATCTATCTATCTATCTATCTATCTATTCATCTATCTATCTATCGGCCTGTGGATCGCCCATGGGCCTATCTAACACGTCGGTATGCGTGCCTGCATAGTTACATACTTTCATCGCTACCTTGCAGCGCGGCCGAAGGCAAATTGCCCATCAGCTTGAACCAGGCCGAGACGAAGACTTGTCTTGGGCTGTTCGGGGCTCCCAGTTCGCGGCGTTGTGCAGGAGTTGACAGGTTTAGGGTTTCTGGCACTCTATCTATCTATCTATCCATCCATCTATCTACCTATCTATCTATCTATCTAGCCATCTATCTAGTCTATCTATACATTCTTTATGTACTGCATAATCTTACATAATACTATATCATGGCATGAAATACTGAAAATGCCATACAGCACTAGGTAGTATTACAAAAAAAGTGATCTGGGTTAGGCTCGGGCTTTGCGTTCCAGGCACCGGTCCGAACGGGCGACTTTTCTTGTACATTAGGGGCCTTGCGGTATCCTCCAGCTCCCTTACTCGTTCTAGTTGTAGGAGTTTCCGAACATTAGGAGGTACCCTCTCTAGGGGTCCTTTATAAAGACGATCCTAGTATTTAGGGTACTATATTTGGGTCCCCTATTTTCGGAGAACCCCCCTTATATCGAAGGGCCCTTCAGGCCAGCTGTATAGCTGCACGGCGCCCACAAGCTCCGATGACGATGACGAGCCCTTATCCACAGCGACGCCCCTTCCGCTCGTCCCCAGGCGCATCGCCAGGGTTCCGTTTTGCTCCATTTCTGCTCCATTTCTGCTGTTTTCTCATATGGAAGCGTGGAAGGTGACTTTCTGCCCAACACGGACATTAGCAGCGTCGAGCTGGGTGAGTTTAGGGAGGCTTTGTCTGCTCCTGGGTAGCAACGCGGGCATCGGTGAGCTCATGCCGACATCCTGAAAGGGACGCCCTTGATGCCATCTTGAGGCCGGGGACATCCTTTTGGTGGAGGCGTTCCTGGAGTTTGCCGACTTGCCTGAAGCACCTTGTCGGCATAGATATGAATTATTCTGGCCTCTGTGGTGGGCGGGCATATGTCAGTGCCAAGGTGGACAGGAACTTCAGCTTTGTTGCAGTGGTTCCGGAGTCAGCTCCGCCACGCCACGGACGCCCTGTGGATCAGAGAAGAGGATGGCTGGCACTTCTACTGCTGGCGATCGTCATTGTTTGCTCTGTTTTGCCCCTTGCATGATTCGGTCCGCAGAGTCCAGAACCTGTGTTTCTACGGCAATTAGTGCAGAAGCAACCAGGGTAAGAGTTTAAGTTTGTGGATCTGGGTCACGGCATGGCAAGCCCATGCCATAAGGTTTATGTAAGCTTCAGCAGAAGGGGTGGTAGCACATGTGGGACTGGGCTGGGGCTGGTGCTGGCAATGGCGGGCGGTGTGCGAGTTTCAGAGAATGAGCTGAAAACCACATCAACAATAGGATGCTTTCTGCGTACTCGTTGGGCGTTCTGGGAATCTGATCCGTTGCAAAGGAACTTCTGCGAGCTGGTGTTCCTTGGCCTCGCTGCTGTTGGCCTCTGCATTATTCTGAATATTGTCCACCGGGAAGCAGTTTTTTGGTGTTGCAGAGAGTTGCAGAGAAGACATGAGAGTACATTCCTGTGTTTTTGGAATGTCAGACAGGTAACAAGTATGCTGAAGGATTCCTCCTAATCACACAAATCGAACATCTTTTTTTCGAGCTTCCCGCAGGGGTTGGCGGGATAAGGATTCGCATGTCTATGGGCGAGTTGTCCGAAAAGTCGGACTTTGCTTTTCTTGAAGTCACCACCTGACTGAATGCAGGAGACATCGTTCAGTAACGACCAAACCGCGCGTGTCGAGCACAAATCATCCAGAAGCTTCGCACATAGAAACACTTGTCAAAAATATTGCAGCACGCGAGCCTATCATATTTCGCCTGACAGCGGGCGGCGACACGTGAAACTGGCCCACTATAAGGTCCTTTGGGGAAGATGGTAAAACCATCGCAAGAAGAATGCTCCGCTCTTTAGTCGGGTGTAAGTGCAAGGTTTCAGTGCCATGCAGCCGAAACGCGCTCCAGTACGGCCCAGAGAGGCCTGCTGTGCCAGCTCGCTCTGCCCCCACTGTTCTTTTCATGTCCTGAGTGGTTATCTTGGAAAGCCCAAGCAAGTGTTTCCACACTTCCGCACGACGAGCATTTTGGGCAGCCTAACATGAACGGAGAGATATGGATTGTACTGCGGGGCAAGAGGGCAAAAAATAATCCCAGGTTTTGCAGCGCCTCAACCTGCCCATTTTCCTCACCATCGCGGGAGGTCTCGGTGTGGGACAGGCCAGTTGCGAGCTTGACAAGCTTCTCCACCGCCTGGAATTCGAAACGTTCGGAACGGAACCCCTTGAACAGGCCATCAAAGAAAGCGGACTCGGCAACGCGTGGGCAAAGCTGGTGATATCTGCCGGGCATCATGCCGCCCTCGGCCATCCGCTGGGCATCCTGGTGGCCCTGTCCTTCATCACATCACTACTGGCAAATCTCATGTCGCATACTGCCACAGCCGCTCTGATGGCGCCCATTGCCATGAGGGTTTGTTCCTCGGAGGGCATGATGCCTGGCTTAACCCTCAGCCATGCGTGCAAATGCAGTACCCGCAGCCCGCCGATTCCTGAAGTGCTTGTACGCCTTAGCTGGCTCCAGGAACTTGAAGACGACAGCGCTGGTTCTGGTTTTTTCGGCAAACGCAGCCTTTGCAATGCCTTTCGCTACTTCGTCCAACATCATGATCAAAGGTCCCGCTCTCAGTTTTTTTGCTCTGTGGCACTGTGTGACCTTGAACTAAAACGCTGCAGGCACTTTAGAGGCCAGGTCTCGCCATGATTTCGGGAGGCTTAGGGCCATACGACTTCGCCGATTTCCTGCGATTCGGACTGCCGCTGCAGCTGATGTGCTTGTCCCTGGCTTGATTTAGCATCTTTTAGGCTCCCATGTCAGGGCGAAGCCCGAAAGGAGAGACTGAGGGGCCCAGCCCTCTTCTGGGGGGGAAGGACAGCAACTGCACGCCGCACACCGCTTGTATGGAACTCTGACATGGTCTCAATATTTTTGTTATATTCTCTGCGACCACCAATTTTTCATGCCTCCGTGACTTCATTTTACCAAGGATAGCTATCCCGGCGCTCTGTGCTTTCCAGTTCGGCTTGTCTGATCCGAATGCCATGGAGACGTGAGCGGCACAGCCGATCGTGCATATCTTGGTAATTCAGGTGGTATTCCGACACCAACCAATACCTCGACTGATGGCTGGTCAGCCTTGCTGTCCGGAGTGTCTTTAGTGATGTCAGTAATGTCTGTTACATTCCTTGTTGCCATTGTGCGAGAGGCTGCCCAGATTGGCCAACAAGTACAGCGCAAACTTTGGGAACAAAGCAATCTGAGAGGGTGTCGTGTTGGGTTGACCGTTTACAGCAAAGGTCGCAGCTGGATACAAGTCTTAAGCTACGGTTTCACGGGCTTCACCCTGTAAGGTCCTGTTAGCAGGCTTCAGATTCGACACTCATCCGCCAAAGGCCAAGGCCACACTGACAAACCTGCCTGAGATCGGACATCGTCGATGCTGGTGATTGTGTAGCGGTGACATTCTATCTTTCGCAACTTCGAGGCCGGTTCCGGAACCGGCGGAACCGCCGTTGATGTGCAAGATCTCTGCAGGGGATGTGACAGCTTGCACCGCAAGTGTACCTGCAACAACGATGATCCTTCTGGTTATGACGATGACAGTGATGCTGATGATGGTGATGATGACGGCGACTATGATGACGACGACAACGGTTATGATCATGCTGGTCGTGATGTTTGAACTGTTGTGAGCCCTAGAATTTCCCCTGTCCCTGCCAGGCCAGATTCAGGGGGCAGGCCGGAGGCGACGACTGCAGCGAAGCCTGTGTGCATGTTAGTCCGGCAACAACAGGACGACGTGTCAGTTTCGGCAAGAGATGACCACTGACGAGACCTGTGCGGCAGATAGATTTTTTGCTGGCGCTGCACCTTTTGCTCCAGAGCTTAGACGCTTCAGACGAGCAGAAAGCGATGCGGTGGGGGCATGCCTCCAGGAACAACATATCGAAGTGCGATGCACCCAGTTCCAGTTCAGAGGCCGCAACATAGACTCTTGCATACACACTTGACCCAGCCACCGTCACTAAAGCCCACCCCAGCCATACACAAACATGCGACCGCTTTCAAGCCGCCGGTGATATGCTAGTTGGCCACAGTTGGCCGAGCCATGGCCAAGCACAAGAAGCGCACGGCACCTGCCCATCGTTCAGCAGACTCGAAAGATCTTCCTCCAGGTTGGATTCGAGCCAGGGGCCCAGGCAGGCAGAGGAGGCTAAGTCTGAGCGAACAGAAAGCCTTTAGAACTTGAGGTGTTTGCAATCCAATCCTTGGTCCGTTTGTGGGACCCTACGAAATCAAACCGACTACAATCCTGGAGTCTTGCCAAGCAGAGTTTCAAAAGCAGGCGCTTGCATGTATCTCCATATTGGCTCAAGCTACTTGGGTCAAGGATACCAGTACATGCACATCGCAAGCTCGCCACGATGGCCCTATCAGAGGCTGTTGACGACGAACTGAAGGGACTCTTCGAGAAGTATGGTGCTTCAGAAGAGCAGCAGAGCCTTTTCTTCAAGATGCAGAAGCTCACCAACATGCCGGACGTTTTCCACACGCATGCTAGTCACGAGCAAATCCTTTGGGCAGTCCTGGTCGGGTCTGCAGAACTCCCGGAAAAGCCGACAGCCTCTGATGTAAGTTTCTGTGCCAGAAAGATCGAAGAGCGCCTTAGAAATCTCGACGAAGCCGAGAAGCGGTTCAAATGGTTTTCTGCCGAGTGGACAAAGCCTCTAATGCAGCAGATGATCCGCAATTGGTTTTGCGGAAGCCTTGTGATCTGCCCGGAATTGAGCACATCGACTGGGTCGCCCATTCAGTTCGTTCGTGAATACTACGGTGACGACATCGGCTACCCAACTCCAGAAGGGCAGACGGATGAGTGGAAGGAGTTTCAGAGATCCCTGTATGTGCTGATGGCACGGAGCACCTGTCTTGCTTACCCGATGGCGACCGCCAGAGGCATTGTTTCCTTCTCGGACATGCAAGATTTCGATTGGGCAAAGTACGACATGGAGAGCAAAAGTCGCAACTCAGACATTACCCAGCTCGTCCCGAACCGTTTGGCGCGGATGATCGCATTCCATCCGGATGACAAGATGATTAAGTTCTATCAAGACATGGGTGCTCGTGCGCGCAAGAAGTGGGGCTTCGAGCAGTATGCGACGTTTGCAGATGCGGTTGCTGGCGAAAAGGATTTCCTGCCGGAGAAGCTGCCATCTTTTGTGGGTGGGACGTACGAAGTTGACGTGTTGCAGTGTTTAAAGTACCTCTTCCGACGAGAGCCCGAAGCCTTGGCGTTGATGGAAGCAACCTACGCAGAGATGGAGGCTGCCAAGGAGATCCCAAAGCCGAAGCACATGCGATAAGACGCAGGCGGTGGTCCGTTTTGTGCGGGTGGTGTTCTCGTGGTTGTTGCAGTGCTCGACCCAGCGAGGTTTCACACTTGTGCCGCTAGTGCCTCTACTTCCTTACGCCTCCGCGAGTGAGTGCGGAAATGTTGCAGGGATTGGACACATGTGTGGATTATGCTGGTCCTCGCCACGTATGCGTCGACAGTTATAGTTATAGTACCTATCTTTAAGACAGATCGAATTGGAAAGCTTTCTAGAGGCTGTGGTGCGCTTTTGAATAATTGAAATGACAGTTGGATGCATGGTAGGGTGGCTCATCCACAGCCTGCGACCTGCATCTTGATGATGTCCCTGCCGAAGAGACATCAAAAACCAGCAAAGACTCATCATCATAACAGAGGCAATAACGCAAGCAATGGTTGAAATCGTAATTGGTTTACCTACAACCGTGCAACTATAGAACAATCATGATAGCAATAACAATAACAACAGGAATGATAACAAGGATAACAAGAACCAACTGGCTTGTCCTTACGACCTGTCTGCCCTCAGGTCGAGTCCCGCTCGAAGCCTGGGGCATACTTCTATGCCCATCCCGCCACCAAGCGGACCCAGCTGGAGCATCCTGGCAAGACCAGGCCGAGGAAGCCCAACAAAACAAGACTAAACAGCCTCTGAAGGTTGCACTTATTTTGGCGCGGAGCATTGAAGACTTGCATCCGATGCCCAGCCTGGACAGGGACAGGGAGACGACGAAGTCCAAGAGAGCTGAAGGGCCCAGGAGGAAGGCTGCCGGTGAAGGCCCAGGGCTGCGCAGGGCCGTAGAGCTTTGAGACCTGCGGCTGGTGCAGGGACTCCCGAGGCTCTGGATGTCGAAGGCTTCGAGGCCCTGGCCCTCACCAGTCGGAGGTAGGCCAAAAACGGAGGGAGATGTGCAGGATCCCACGGAGAAGGCGGAGCGCTTGCGGCAAGAGGCCGAGGCCGTGGAGATGAGGGGATGGTGCCCAGTGGCAACATGTCGCAGTCACACATGGAATTGGGAGGAGGCCGAAGCAGCGGAAGCCGCGCGGCAGGAGATGGCACGGCACCAGCGTGCAGCAAAGCGAGCCTTGCTGAGAGACGTGCGGGGCTTTGAATTTCACTTCCCTTTCAGCGAAAGCTTCCGACTTGAGCATAGAAGGCGCCAGAAGACAAGAAGGACGAGGAGTCGGGATCAGGCAGGAGTGGCAGTGCTATGAAGTCTCGTGTACGGCACTGCCTTGTCGTGACTTGGCCAGACGACGAGAACGAACTCGTCTCCAAGGAAGACCTCGCAAGATGGCGACATGGCCGATGACTGGAACTGCCTTTCTTTTCTGCTCTTGTGATGTCCGTGTGTGGATCTTCAGGAAAGAAGCAGAGGAACAGCGAGAAAGGGAAGAGGCAAACTTGCAAGCAGCACAATTTCTCACACTTCAACGGTCGCTGTCTGACTAGAGAGACCTGCGTTGTTTTGCTGCCCTAGTCGCCCTAGTCCTCGTCCTCGAGAGCGGCTGTTGCCCGCATGATTTGGTTTTGCCCGGTGATCGCTTGCTATACACTGGCGGTTTCACTGTTTCTGCCCCCGACTGCTCGACATATTCGCACTTCGAGAGCAATAGACTGCACGGTTGCAGCAACAAGAGCAATCCGGTCCGGAATCCTTCTCCCAAGTGACCTTCGTGGTGGGCTCAATGTGTTATTTGTAGCTGTTTGGTGAAATAGTTGCTACCGCACGAAGCATTTTGTGAAAGTTTATGCCTCGATTGCCCGAAAGCCGTCTCGATTTAGCAACACGCAGCGAGGCAGAAGCAGAAAGACGGAGAAAGGAAGAGGAGGCTAGATTTGGCCTCGGGTGGGAATCTGTGGGAATGGCTGCTCAGATGGTGGCAGTCTCATCTCCTGCAGGGTGTGACGATGTCAACACACAGGTTCCCGAAATGTTTTTGAAAGAGGTTATAACGGCTAGCAATCTCAAGAATATGAACTGGGAAGAAGATTTGTGTAGCTGCAGTGTCGGTATCAAAAACCGATCCTAGGACAAAGCACCCGGATGTGGCTTCAGCTCGCATCCGACTGTCTAGTGCAGATGCCAGTAGCAGTGACGATCCTTGTGTTTATGGCCAATGAGCCGCAGTAATTCTGAAAACTAGGCCTTCGATTGCTGGCTCCAGGAGCGGAAGAGACGAGAAGCCGAGGAGGCTGAGCGTCGGAGGCTGGAGGAGGAGGCCAAAGACCGAGAGAGGGAGGGTTTTGGAAGATCTGGGTTCTGGCTGAGAAGCTTGAAACAGAATCTCAGGAGAGGCAGCGGGAGGAAGAAGAAAGGCGAAGAGAAGAGGAACAGAAGGCCCGGTCAATTTTGTCAGCACGCTAGGAAGTCAGCCGTCTACTGGGATCCTGCAGGAGAAGATCGCCTTATGGAAGCATCGCGTCGAGATGGCGAGAAAGGATTGGGCGCACTTATGGCTGTTATTCTTGTTTTCACGATCATCATTACTCTCAGTGTACATGCATGTATGCATATATATATATATATACACATATGCACACTTACATCTGTCAAGCCATAACATATATACATATATACATGCATACATTCATGCATTCATGGATGCATGCATCCATCCGTCCGTCTGTCCGTCCGTCCGTGCATGCATGCATCCATGCATTCATGCATCCGCGCATGCATGCACCCATGCATCCGTGCGTCCATGCATGCATTCACTAATTCATTCATTAATTCATTCATTAATGCAATCAGTCCTTCCTTCTTTCCAGTCATCCATTCATCCATTGATTCGTTCACTCTGTCTATCTATCTATCTATCTATCTATATATATATATATGTATATGTATATGTATGTATATATGTATGTATATATGTATGTATATATGTATGTGTGTGTCTATATATGTATGTGTATATATATATATATGTATATGGATGTATATAGATATATGCACATATATGTACATGTGTATGTATACAAGTGCAAACATGAATAATATACGTATAAATACAAACAAACTTGCTAGTGCCCTGACCTGCCGAGTGCGGGCGTCGGAGAGGGTTGGAAAAAAAAACAAGCACATACATGAGTACATTCCCCGGAGTTGTAGCAGTCCTTTTCTCCTGAGCCTGTGAGCACGAAAATCCGAAGCCTTGGGGTGTTGGCTTGGATCCCTGCACCGGACGAATCTGGGCAGGAGGCCGAGTTTGAGCTCTCCATGGCCAAGGAGCGTCAGAAGAAGGTCAGATTCTGTTGTCGGGGTTTTAGGGTTTAAAGATGTAGGGGGTTCGGATTAGAATTAATATTTTAATAGGTGATGCTGCTTCCTTCAGGCTGAAGCTGACAAGGAAGTCGCAAAGCAGCTGGAGGTCCAGCTGCTCAAACGATGGCCACTTCGGTAATGTGCAACCGTTAGCTAAGCACCAGAGTTCTGAGCACCAGAGTTGGCAACGAGCCGCGAGCCATTTTAGCTTCAGGCTCAGCCGGTCTCTCACATGTCCCTCCGCTCTAGAACAGTCATCGAAGACGATGTTCGCGAAGCACGGGAACGATTCGTGACCAACAAGCGACTGTCCCGACTGGACATAGAGGAAGACACCATCGTGTTTCAAGTCTTCGGTCTCGAAGGAGATTTCACCGCTTTTCTTTCCGATCCTTATCCAATGGAATCGACGGTCGTGTACGGGCCTGATGACTTCGAACTACATACGAGTGGAACTATACACGACACAGTCTTGGCAGTCATGTCCAAGCTGAAGTCGCAGGAAGCCAAGCGATTGACTGAGGATTCATGCTCAGATGCGGGCGAGGAAGAACTGGACTGGATTGTGACTGAACGGCCTCCTGAGCCTGGATTGCAAAGTGACCTAGACTCGGTGCAAGACTTGTTTGGCGACGGTGCCTTTGAAATCACGCAGTTATGCCCAAAGACCTATCGTGTGCGACTTTACGTGCCAGTAAACTGTGCGATCCTGGACAAAAAGGTTTGTTCTGCCTGGGGCTTCAAGCCTGACGCACCAATATGCGTCGAACTGTGCTTGCCGGCAAGCGGATATGCCTTCGGAGTTGTCAAGCCTCACATGCTCACGCAAATCCGGCAAGAAGGCTTTCCTGAATTTGGTTTGCAGAAACAGCTCATGCAGATCTTGGCAGATTTTTGCTTGGTCTGCAGCGGCAAGGCGTGGGAGAGCTACGAATCTGGTGCAGATGACACCCTTGAAGACGATACTCCTGACAAGCTGTATCGGCGCTTCGAGCTGAAGAAGAAGAGCCTGATCCTCGATGCGCTAGGAAACAAGGAGCTTGGCTTTCTCAGCTGCCTTGCAAGATATTTGCAGCTTCGCATGCCGACCCTACATGAATACTGCGCGATCTGCGACTCCCCTTTTACGCTTCCGCCGATGATGATGCGTGCAGTGTGTCCGCGTGAGCTGTGCACCTATCAGTTTGGGGAGTTCGGAAGCAAGATTACGTCTGCAGAGGGGATGAACAATCATGCTGAAGTGGTCGACTTGCTGGTCTGCATGCTTCTTGCAGCAGCAAAGTCTTCAAGAAGACATCTCATACTGGACCCATTTCCAAATGTCTACGTGGGAGAGGATCTACGTGTGGTTTTGCATCCAGACAGCAAGGATTTCAGCAAGTTGGAGACCTACGTGCAGGAGCTGCAGGCCATCCGCACACGGGTAGGAAATCAGATCGGTGCTTCCTGGTCTGCAAAAACATCGTCAATGTCTGCAGAAGCAGCAGCCCTCCTGAAGTGGACGGTCGCATCGAACAGGTCTTTCCTGGCCCCCCTGCAGGACACTGAGCGAATCGAAGCTTTCCGGACGCCGTTTCAGTATCTCCTCATTTCAGCGCCACCAGACAAGGAAGCACGCTTCCAGGAATTGAAGAAACAGTTTCGCACTTCCTTCGCTTTCCACGGCAGTTCCTCCGAGAATTGGCATTCAATCCTGCGGAACGGACTGAAGAATGCATCGAACACGAAATTGATGACATGTGGGGCGGCACACGGTCCCGGCATCTACCTCTCCACTGCAAGCTCACGCTCGATGGGCTATACCCGGCACTCACCAGTCGTGACCGAAGGGGTGGTTGCTTTAAAGCGACAGAAAACGGGCAATCGTTTCGTTGACAATCAGCGTGGTCTTGTGATGATGGCCGTGTGCGAGGTGGTTGAAGATCCGAGCAGACTGCGAAAGCCGACTGCACATATCTGGGTCGCGAGCGAGGAGGAGCTGGTCTGTACTCGCTTCTTCTTGGTCTTTAGCGAGGCAGAGCACGTCAATTTGAACGTCAGCACCCTGAAGCTGGACAAGGAGATCCGCACGCTTGTGGAGAGAAGCCGGTAAGGCCTGGAACCAGTGCAGCCAGCGCCGAGAAGCCTAGAAATGATTGCTGAGCTGACCCACGAGCGCAAGCGGAAAGGCGAAGGCTCTTGGACCATAATTAGCGGTTGTTCTGAATGACTGTTCCTGCGTTTTTCATGATTAAATATTGACCTGTCTTGGGCTACGGCATGGCCTGAGCTGTTCGGGTTTGAGGCGTTGCTTGAGGTTGGTTTGTTGTCTAGTTCTGGGCCACAGGGCAGTGCTGCCGTCAGTCCTTCCAATTTTCCGACCACGCACCATGAACCTCATCTGGCGAGGCGGAGTGAGCTTCAGAATCAGAAAATCCTACAAGTAATGAACATAGTCATGATATGCAAATGATTGTACTTGCTACCGCAGTAATAATAGTAATATTGGTAATGATAGTAATACCCGTAGTAAAAAATAACCAATAGGAGTAGTAGTAGGAATAACAGTAACAATAGCAATATCAGTAATAGCAGCAATTGTAGAAACAGTAGGACCTCGAAGGACAATGCCAACACAAATGCCAGAAACACTAATTGTAACGGCATGTTTAAAATATTGGAACTAGTTATGAAGAAGCCCTTCCTAAGATTGCCAGGCGGAGAAGTTGCGACAGGCCCTCCTGGAGCGAAAGAAGCAGGAAGCAGAGGCAGACTGACTTGTCACGCCTTCTAAAGTCTAAATGAACGCATTCATCCAAAAACTGTATTTATATACATACAACTATGTACATACCCTCTCTCTCTCTCTCCCGCTCTCTCTCTCTCCTCTCTCTGTGTCTCTTTCTCTCTCCTCTCCGTCACTCTACCTGTATAATCTATCTAAAATTCGATCTATCGATCGATCTATCGACCTATCGTTCTATCGATCGATCTATCTATCTATCTTTCTTTCTATGTATCTACCTATCTATCTGTCTACCTATCTATCTATTTCTCCAACTATCTATCTAACTATCTATCTATGTATCTACCTATCCATCGATTTATCTATCTTTGTATCCATCTATCTATCTACCTACCCATCCATCTATTTATTTACTTATCCATCGATCTATCTTTCCATCTATCTATCTAATCTAATCTAGCCTAATCTAACCTAACCTAACCTAATCTAGTCTAATCTAACCTAATCTAGTCTTTTTATCTATGTATCTACCTATCTATCTATTGATTTATCTATCTATGTATTTATCTACCTGTCTGTCTATATATTTATATATACACATTTATGCGTGTGTGTGTGTATACATGGACGCACGCGCACACACACACACATATATACATCATATATATATATGTATATGCATACATTTGCGTATACACATACAACTTGCACATATCACAGGTTTATGCACATGTGAATATCTGCAGATGTATGTAATGATGTATGATGTACGATGATGTATGTCTGTTTGTCTGTATGTTCGTATGTCTGTATGTCGGTCTGTCTGTCTGTCTGTCTGTCTGCCTGTCTGTATGTATGTATGTATGTATGCACGTGCGGATGCATGGATCTGTGGATACATGCATGCAGTCGGGTACTCACCCATCTGCCGTTATGGCAGTTATCTTCATGCATTTGCGTGCGACCATTAGTTCCAAATGTGTTCATTTTGCAACGTGGGCTGCGGTCCAGAAATGGGAACCCGTGTTTTTTTTTTTGCTGTAGTTGCTTTATGTTGGTTTTTGTTGTCGTTGCGC